CTGTTGGTGCATGTTATAAACTGAACTGTCGTTTTTGAGCGGCATGCCGCAGGCTGTGTCATGCACACATTCCGATATCAATGCTTGAAGCCTGATGCAGGCAGAGGGACGACTCTGAAGGGATGTCTTGACGGCTGATCTCGTTGCCTTCCAGCCGCAGCGTTCGCAGTTTGGAGAAATTTGTCACATCCGCAAAGCTGCAGAAACTACCCAGAGTGAACTCTACATCCACAGGACAGAGGGAGAGGCGGGAATGAATTTATTTCTGTACATATACAGTTGTGATATTAGAAAATACTACTCCAGTTACAGTAGTCTAAACATCCAGCATCTCAGCATCTGCCTCGAAGCACAGCATATTAGCTATTCACCAGTTATTTTTAAGAAGGCCCAAGGTAATTTGCTTCATCAGACCTGTGTGAGTGTTGATTGGCATTTTTGATTCAGATGTTCATATTCTAAAACTCAACTTTTTCTAACCGAGCCCACTTCAAACCAATGATCAAGTGCACAGAGAAAATCATGAAATGTTCGTCTGTCCCTATATTGCACATAGGAAGAAGCTTATTGAGGAGCACACGTCTTTTCTAAAAAGACGTGTGTACACAAATGATAAATGAACCATGTGTGTAGCTTACCTTTGATCTGGTTGGTGTGCAGATAGAGAAGTTCCAGTGTGGTGCTCACTGGAGGGATTCTCTCCAGTTTGTTGTAGCTCAAGTCCAGCTATACCAGCCCAGTCACATTAAAGGTATTCGGAGGGACGCCCTTGTCTGTGAGCTGGTTGTGGGCCATCCTGATGTACTGCAGCAGAGTGCAACAGTGCAGGAAGTCCTCTGGTAGAAAGTCGATGGAGTTGGACTCCAGGTAGAGCTGGTGCAGATGTTCAGGGAGCTCCTTCGGGACCTGGGATGAGCTAATGAAAATACTATTGGAGAAATGGAGATGACCTGCTCACCTGATCAGACGCGTGCAAACACACCTAATACCTTTGTCAACTTGTTACTGCTTGCGTCCAGGAGTGTGAGGGATTTCAGTGCCTTCAGTGATATGCTCATGTCTGTGACAGCGTTGTCATGGAGATAGAGGATAGTGAGGTTATCCATGCCCTCTAGGTCTGCAGGTGTTGCCTAGGCAACAGTAGCAATAATTTTAAAGTCTAATGTCTCTTGTGTACAACCAAAACATTTAACGAGAACAGAAAGGGGCTCTGCATGAATGTCAGACTACAAAACACACTTTACCTTTTCGATCTTATTATGGTTGAGTCTCAGGTCACGCAGGGAGCGAGGGAGGTTGGGAGGAATGCTGGTCAAATTGTTGTGTTGCAGATATCAATCAATCCCTCCAGCTTCAGAAATGCCTACAAATGATATAATGTGGGGCATGAGCAGCTCACTGACATACTGTATGTGTTTAACAGTAAATTCAAAAGGAATAAAACCATGAAAAAGTTCAAATCTAAAATTTAAACTCAACAGTGTTGTGCAAAACAAAACAAGCAATTTTAGAAGTTGGAGCAGAAACTTGGAGGGGGGACTTTCATTTTAGCACACTGTTTTTATAGTCGCTACTTCTCCGTTGACGTTCATCGCTCTGCACGTTAACAAAACTCAAGTTCATGTTACTTAAATGCAAAGTGATCCGTTCAGTTCACGGAAAAATCAACTGTTCTGCATGTGTGTGTCTGTGTGTGTGTGGGCAGCAGCTGGCAGGCAGAGAGAAAGGGTAAACAAATTTAATTTGTAGCTTCCAAGACAATGAACAGAAGTGACACTTTCAGGTAAGTTTACATGCTGTTTTCTGTGCTGCAGCTGTGCCTGAAAACTGATGTCAGAAGTGAATGTTTGTTTGGTTTGTTTGTGAAGCTAAGATAGAGGACAAGACTTGTGTTCATGTAAGAGGGAGATTTTAGCTGAAAAGCTAGTCTGGTTGTTGTTCAAGTCTTTTAGTCAGGGTAACCATCGACCTGTGGTAGAAGGGTGACATGACTGCTTGATATTCAAATATGATTTAATATTAAAGGATTTGTTTGGCTGTGTAGAAATAAGTTGTACGACAACTTAGAGCAAAGATAGGGGGCGACATCATGAAACGAAGAATACAAATTTCTGTTTTTATCTCAAAAACTACTGTAGAAGTGACTTACAGAGCAGATATAAAATGTATGATATACCAGGTAAAAATGCAATTTAACTTCAGTTTAATTCTAATAACATAAAAAAACCCCACATTTTGTTCCTTCACTCATGCAGCAATTATCATTTTTCATTGTACAGCCTGTTAACCACCTGCCAGCAATCTGACAGAGACCATCATCACACTGAGCTCACACATACTGTATGTCTGAGTGTGACTGAGGCCTAATGTAAGTTTACCTTCTTGCCAATGGCTTCAGATATCAGCTGGTTGTAGCTACACCAAACTGGTTGCATTGGACAGGGCTGAGTCAGACACAGATGTGATGGCATTGTTCTGGAGGTACAAGTACTTGACATGGGAGGGAATGGCTGGCATGGCTGTCAGGCTGCACCCATCACAGTACATGGCCACAGGGAAAGAAGGAGGGCAGTCACACTTATCTGGACACTCCCCTCCTTTGGCAGCCTGCAGGGAGTCAGAATAGTATCTTTGGCTATGCCAACCGTACAGCCAGGCGAAGGGATCCCTATGTACATGAGAGAGACAGAGCAGGGCAGACAAAAGGCAAACCAGGTGCATGGTCACAGTCAAACAAATCTTCACTGTAGTCTAACAGAGGAAAAACAGAGAGGCAGTGGTACTGAAATTTAAAATAGAAGAAAGTCATTGATAAATCAGGGACTATGTTGGTATCTGTAAACATCTGGATACAGATAAGTTTCAGAGTAAACCAACAATAAAAGCTGTGCTCTTTTGCTTATCTTCAGTATCCATTAAAGGCAGGTTCCTCTCTCATTTAGAAATAAAGTATTAGCAAAAATAAATGAAAAAATATTCATAAGACACTAAAATGTAAAAATAAAAACTTAGCAAAAGTGTAACCACTGATACTTTCAGGGAGTAAGGAAATATTCTTCAACAAAGCTGTCTCTTAAATGTAAAGCCAGCCATACTGTTTTCATATTGAGGTTAGAACATGCAAAGGTGCAGTACAGATACAAACTTTGTTTTGGAACTGCCTGTAGAGAGGCATGGTCTTAGGAGTATTACAAATAAACCAGAGAGGAAGCACTGAAAAAAGAAAAAACTTGCCACTAATGTCAGATTTATATACAGTATATATATTCAGTAATTACCCTCTGATTTTCTAGAACAAAAAAAAAATCTGCAACAAAATGATGAATGTACTATAAGATTTCACAAAGTGAACAGATCCATCACACATGCATATGCACACAGACACACACCTACATGATCAAAGAAACTGACCCTCTGTGTGCTCAGGACTGGAGGAGACTCTGATAAACACTTTGTTAAAAACTTTCTTCCCCTCTATGCTCTTTTTTAAAGTTCTGCC